CTTAATATTAAGAAGAGTTGTTTCATTATAAAACACTGTAAATTTAGGGTTAAAAAAATAATACAGCAGCCAGGCACATACCTGAAATTCCAACACTTTGGGAGGCCAAGGTAGGAGGATTGCTTGAGGCCAGGAGTTCAAGACCAGCTTGGGCAACATAGTGAGACCTTGTTTCTACAAAATACTGAGTAAAAAAATTGACCAAGTGTGGTGGTGCACGCTTGGAGTCCTAGCTATTTGGGAGGATGAGATGTAAGGGTTGCTTGAACCCTAGGAGTTAAAAGGCTACAGTGAGCCATGATTATGCCCTGGCCACTGCACTCCAGCCTGCACAACAGAGAGAGACCGTGTCTAAAAAAAGAAAGAAAGAAAATACTGAAGAGAAGTGTAAAGTGAAAAACCAAAGACCCTGGCCTCTTTTCTTCTCACCTATCCCCTCCATTTTTGGTCTATAAGAAGTGTAGCTGCTGAATGAAGGGAGGGATAACCTGTGTGAGAGAGAGACCGTCCAGAGGGTGATTCACATATGCCTGTGTCTGAAGAGAGCCCATAGAAGGAAGGAAAAACAGAAATGGGTCTGAGGAGCCCAGAGGACATAAAAGGAAGTAGGGACTCAGTGACCACGTTGAAGAGAAGAGTAGAGAGACTCTTTTTTCTTTGAGACTGCAGGAAAAATTATTTTCTTTTTCTCTCTCAAGTCGCAGACTGAATTCTCTGCTAATGGTTAGATTTGAATAGGGTTGATGGTGTCTGGTGTCTGCTAACCACAGGAATGAGCACAAGAATGGTGTGCCCAGCTACGCCCTGAAGGACTTTTGCATTGAGGAATGCCATTGTCCAGGGAGATGTGTCACCTCGTGATTGCCAGGCACGATTCAGTTCTTCGGCTGGTTGGCCAAGGGAGGTGTTTCTTCCTTTCTTTCTGTGTGGGGTCACCAAATGATTCACTTCCATTCTTGCGGAGCTCGAGTGGAACTATGGTTCAGTCTTCAGTGCCTTCCTGGCTTTCCCTTTCTGTGACTGCTTTGAGCATGTTCTCTGATGTGAAGGAAAACGTCTGACAAAATGATTACACGGAGACCTCTAACTGGCAGTGGAACTACTTTCACTTCCTCTTTTAAAAAAAAAGTAGGCCGAACTCTGTGGCTCAGCCTGTAATCCCAGCACTTTGGGAGGCTGAGGCGAGTGGGTTGCCTGAGCCTGCAGGTTCCAGACCAGCCCAGGCAACTCAGCAAGACCTCATCTCTACAATAAAATAAAAATCACATCACCTTGACCTCCTGGGCTCAGGTGAGGCTTCCACCTCAGCCTCCCAAGCAGCTGGGAATACAGGCACTTGTCAACACACCTGGCGAATTAAAAAAAATTTTTTTTTTTGTAGAGACAAGGTCTTGCTATGTTGCCCAGGCTGGTCTCAAACTCCTGAGCTCAGCCGGGTGCAGTGGCTCACATCTGTAATCCCAGCACTTAGGGAGGCGAAGGTGAGAGGACTGCCTGAACCCATGGGTTTGAGACCAGCCTGGGCAACTTGGTGAGACCTTGTGTTTACAATAAATAATAATAATAATAAATTAGCTGAGTGTAGTGGCACATGCCTGTAGTTACAGCTACTTGGAAGAAATAGTTTTGTTGTTGTTTTTAACAAATAATTCTGGGACAAGTGTACACTTGTATTCCAAGAACAAAAATGTTTATTCACTTTATTTTTATTTATCTATTTATTTTAAAGTAGAATTTATTGAGAGACAGAAAAGCTCCCGCAGTGGGAGGGGACCCAAGGGGGTTGCCCAACTTTTATTCATTTTAATGATGAGATTAGAGTTAGGGGTCAGGGAAAGAAAACCCTTCTATGTTCATCTGACTACAATGTTAATATGTTCTATCATGCTGGGATGCAATTAAATCAGCCGTTTTTAGATCCTCCAGTTCACAGTCTCGTGTAATCCATGTATGTGTGTGAATCAAACTTGCTGTTATGTGAAATAACATGGGAAAGGAAATCTTTTTTTCTTTTAAACAGGTGTAGCAATTTATTTTCTCTATCTCCATCCCAAGCCTACTGTCTCTAAAATTTTTGTTTGACATAATTAACTTTGAAATAAAACAACTCAAATATACTTTATTTTGTAAGAGAAGTTTTAGATTCACAGCACAATTGAGTGAAAGGGTCAAAGGTGTCCTTACGACCTCTGTCCTCACACATGCCCAGGCTTTTCCATCAACAGATTTCACTAGAGTGATACATTTGTTACAATTAATGAACCTACATTGACACCACATCATCATATCGCCCAAAGTCTATCGTTTGCATAGGGTTCACTCTTGGTGTTGTATATATTCGTGTTCTTGGACAAATGCCTGAGATGGAGCTCCCATTATAGGTTAAAATAGAGTAATTTCACTGCCCCCCAAATCCTCTGTGCTTCACCTGTTCATCCTTCCCTCCCCTCCCCTCCAGCCCCAGGAAACTCTGACCTTTTACTGTCTTCGTTGTTTTGCCTAGAAAAGGAAATCTTATGAGAAGACTTTCTGCAGGTGGCCCTTTACCTTGTAAGTTTGGCAACTGATACAGCAAACAAATGTACTCTTCCCCCCACAGGACCTGGTTGGGGATCTGAAGGAGCAGCTTTCACATCACTTCAAAGAAGTGATGGTTGGCCTCATGTATCCACCACCATCTTTTTTTTTTGAGTTGGAGTCTCACTCTGTGGCTCAGACTGGAGAGCGGCCCTGGCAGCCCCGACCCGCTGGGCTCCGGCGATCCTTCCGCCTCAGCCTTCCAAGTAGCTGGAACTGCAGGCGCGCGCTGCCACGCCCGGTTAATTTTTTTGATTTACTGTAGAGATGAGGTCTCGCTAAGTTGCCCAGGCAGGTCTCGAACCCGCGGGCTCAGGCAGTCCCCTCACCTCGGCCTCCCAAAGCGCTGGGATTACAGGCTGAGCCACCCATCTTAAGATGCCCATGAACTCTGGCACACCGTGAAGCTAGTAACCGAATCCAGAAATACCCGACATAGGAACAGGTTGGCATTTCTAGAGGGGCTACTGCCCGGTGATGCTCCCACATATGCATCTGGTTGAGGAGTGAGACGGGAATAACTAAGCGATGATGTAACAGTGGAAACGCTGTGGTCAAGGGAAGCCGTCTTGGTGGGAAGGTGGAGCCTCCAGAGACCCCAGGCAGGGGCTACCTGCTCTTTTGCTATACAAACTCCGATTTACTGAGCCAACTCTAGGCTGAGCTACCAAAAGGAATGCGCAAATAAGCCCCCAGGGCTATTCAGATGTCTCTCCTCAATAGCTGTATTGAGAAGAATGCGTTAAAAATCATGCGAATCTTTTTAACTTGTTTGTCAAAAGGGGGTTACATCAGAATAGGATATTGAATCGGAGACAATATATAGACGATGCATTTATTTTGATGACCTTAAGTTATTCCTTTACAAATACTTTTTTGGCTTTAATGCATCAAATTTTACTTCTGAATAATTAGACTAATTATTTCCTACAGGAAAATAATTTCCATAAAACAAATTAACTATGGATTTGTTGCAGATTTTGTTGGCTAGTGGGGGGGAACAAGGTGGCCCTGTTGCTTCTTTCCAAACACTGATATCAGATAATATTATCTCCTCAGGATCCAATAGCTAGTAAGAGGCAGAGCCAGAACGGAGGCTGCGCCTACCTCGGTCCCAAACATTTTCTTTCCCGGTCCCGCCCTCCCTCCCCACCTTTCACAACAGCAGGAATGCTGTGTCCCTTTATTTTTGACAAAGTGCACTATTTATCCCGGTAAAAGAACCTTCATATTCCTCTCTTTTTTCCTTTTCCTAGGGAGTAGGCATTGACGAGAATTGCCTCATTGATATATTAGCTTCAAGAACAAATGGAGGAATTTTCCAGATACGAGAAGCCTACTGCTTGCGTAAGGAAACACATGTGAATATATTTTACACACCTATGAACTTCATGCTTTTCAAATAACACATAAGAATATTCCACATAACATAAAAATTATGTCTTTTGAGGAGTTTCCTGAGACACCCTTATGTTTGAATTATGACTCACTCTAGACTAATTAACTTGTTAGGTAAAATTGATCATGAGTGCACTCAAAATGAAACAGTTCCCTAGATAATCAAGTCAACCAGGTTTTTCCAGAGAAATACAAGTCTCCATGAGGTGAATGCCTTTGCCAAGACAGGAAAGCGTCCAGCACCCTAGTTCAGGGGCTATATATTATTTCTTACCCAGGAAAGATGCAGAACGCAGACAAAACAAAGCAAAGTACAGTAATTACTCAGTGGAGCCTACAAATATAGCTGCGTCACTTTACATCAATTTAATGATCCCTGTAATCTACCTCAAAATCAGATTTTTATACATTTCAAAGCAGAAAGAGTAATTATTTTCACTTTCAAAAAGGTTTAATGCCGAGTATTATTGTATTATACATTATGTAACACTGACTGTCAAGAAAATGTTTCAGACAGTCACCACTATTGCCTTTGAGCAAAACTAAGACTTTTCCAAGGGAATGAAGTAAGAACCTTCACTTAAAATGTTAAAATGAAACAAAGCACTTGGAAAAATGCTGGGCTGGGCAGCAGTCTGTGGAAAAAGAAAAATAATTATGAGGCAACCCCTTGGGTCCCCTCCCGCTGTGGGAGCTTCTCTGTCCTCTCAACAAATCCTGCTTTCTAAAAAAAAAAAAGAAAGAAAAGAAAAATTATTATGAATTTTGAGAATCAGAAAATGTGAAATGACTCTCAATCCTGCTTCTCAATTTTGGAATGCAGATAATTTTTTTCCTTTAAAAAATAGACCTGTACCTATGTTGGTCACCATGAGATGACTGATTTCTTTGGTGGTCAGTTTATGAACAAAGAAACGTCAACAAATTGACCCTATTTCCTGGACTTTCCCTTCACAACTTGGAAATGGCATGTATTTATTCAAAGCACATTGATTCGCAGTTCTATAATAAATCACACCTTTAACATGGTTTCCTGTGCAGAATACAGCAATAACCTTCAAGAGGATATTTATTCAGAGACCTCCGGACACTTCAGAGATTCTCTCATGAACTTGGTCCAGGTATGGCATTCCAAAATCCACATAATTTTGCACTGTTAAAAAATAGATGCAGCCTGAGACCGCAGGTTTGAGACCCGCCTGGGCAACTTGGCGAGACCTCATCTCTACAAATAAATAAAAAAATCAGCTGGGCTTGGTAGCGCATGCCTGTAATTCCGGCTACTTGGAAGGCTGAGGTGGAAGGATCGCCGGAGCCCAGCAGGTCAAGGCTGCG